ATAATTTAGTAGTAAATTAGTTAATTATGATAACTTTGTAGTAAATTATCGATAAATTAATAATAAATCAGTTATAACTTAATAATTAATAATTAGTAACGTAGTAGTAAATCATCAATAATTTAGTAATAAATCATTTATAACTTAGTACTGAATTATTCATAAATTAATAGTACCTAAATACTAATTTAGTAGTAATTAATTGATAATTTAATAATATATCATTTATAACTTATAGTAAATTATTGATAAAATAGTATTAAATTAAAGATAACTTAATTGTCAATCATTGTTAAATTTTTTATACTTGAAGTTATGAGGAATTAAACTTTGGTTACTAGTAAAAACAAAGCTATAAATTTCATCTTGAAAGGTTAGAATAAATATACTATGAACCTATTCAATAAAAAATTTAGTGAAAAAATTCTAAATTTAAACGAATGTTATCATATACAAACATTATCTTATATTGAAACTAAACCCTCACTTTCTTATGAGAATTAATTGTTAAATATATGATGATACAAATTTATTAATAATTATCAAAAAGTATATTATAAGTTACCAAGATGTTATTAAAACCATATCAAGAGATTACCAAAATTTTATAAAAAATTATCAAAATTGTATTATCAAAGTTATCAAACTAATATTGACGGTTATCAAAATTGTATCAAAAGTTATTAAAATTTTATCAAAAGTTATTAAATCAAAATTATATCAAAAGGTATCAAATTTTATTTATAGTATAACAAATATAAATTAAATTGTTATTATTTATCATTATTATCAAAAGTATACCAAATTTTACTTATATTATAGCAAAATCAAAATTAAATTGTTAATATTTATTAATATTATCATAGTATAAAAAATAATTTATAAAGTTAATTTTTAAAAAATAAGAATTGGATGTTCGTTATGCACATGCCTAAAATTAGTATATATATAGAAGGTCACAACTTACATAGTATTAAACTCTTTTAGTTTTATAATTTTTTTAACTATTAATTTTAATAGATTCAATGATGAGAGACACAAGTAAAAATAAAAAAAATAGTTTAATCTTATCCTTTGAATATATTAAAATCAATGGTTAAAAAGAATATGTAAAACTAAAAAAGTTTTATATTGTATAAATTAATCTCTCCTCATATATATATTATTAAAATATATTTTAAAATATAATAAATTTATATAAAAACTAATGAGATAATTGACAATATTTTTAATATGGTTTTGTGGAGTTTTAAACTCAATTCACGTTGTATAGAAAAAGAATTCATACCAATCATATATTAAATTTCTTTTAATATGTAAATCAATAGCGCATTACATTGATTTCGAGCACAAGGGATATGAAAACCCTAAAAGGTCGCTAAAATTTCAATGATAAAATTGGTAAATCTTATTCCACGAGGAGGTGCTTTGTTTGAAATTTGTATGGTGGGGTAACGGGAAATTGTGTTCCATAGTTCAATGGTTTTATCAAGAGATTAAGTATTTAGGATTGAATTTAGTTTGGTGAGCTTTAAAATAATCGTGAAGGTGAATTCGTTATTGTAATAATAAAAATATATATTTGAATGTAAAATAGTAATAGACAATGAATTATTATAATGAAAAGAAAATCAAATTATTAATAGCAATAGAATAAAAATTATATTAAATACCATAGAAATAAAAAATTATATTTAATAAAAAATTTAATATTTAATTTATAAAATTAATAAATAATTAATTATTATAATTAAGTGTTTGATTAATAATATTAAAAATAATAACTAAGAATAACATTTATTTATTAATCTTATTATATGATAATACTTTATTTACTTAATTTATTATATAATAATAATCAAAAAGAAAAAAATAAGAGAGGGCATTTTGAGATTAAACATTAAAATATTGGATTCATAAAACGAAAAAAAAAAGTTTCTTTGTACGCATTAGCTACCGGAACCCATTTAGATCGATAGTCAACGCACAACCCGATCTCATCCATTGGAGGACCCGTCTCCACTGGTTGATAGGCGCAGTTTGGATGACAATCGGCCCTCACATCAAGATCGAGTTGCATCTAAACAGACCCTCAGTGGAGAGTCTTCCATCAAAAGCCTTTTTGAAATTTAGCGTTGATGAATCGGCAAAAAGAAGTTTTGAGCCTCCAGGGTGAGTTGGTGTACTGAGGAAAGAGTGCGGTGTTGGCTATGTTTTCTAGGCCTGTGGGGTTCAAGTTTCTAATGTGGCTGGGCTTTAGAATAGCATTGATGTATTTACAAAGTCTCTATGGAGTAGCAAAATGAGAATAGTGATTGAATCAGACTATGAGGTTGTTTTGCGTTGGTGCCTAAACGGGCCCATATAATTGGACGCCCTCAATTGTAAACTTTACTAGGCCTCTCTGGACTCATTAAGCTATAAATTGACTCGGCTGCTTTATAATTTTAGCTGTATCACAAGGCTAACGAGGTTGGCTTTGTTTCAGAAAACTAACGTAATGTTTGGTCCGGGGGGATCGCAATTCCATCCCCCCATTTTTTTTTTATTGTTTGTTTCAATCTTTTAATAAAGAATAGTTATTTTATAGAATATTAATTTCTTAAAAATAAGAAATATCAATTCTTTACTCACTCTAAAATTTGCAATTTCTTGTCCATCAGCAATTGAAATAATATTTATGGATAATTTTATCTTTATATTTTAATTAATTTCAATTTTGTCTTTACACATTTAATTATAATATTTAATTAGATAATTAATTTATATTAATTAAATTAAATTATAATAATTAAATAATTAAATAATAGTAAAATATTATAAATTAAATAAATAATTTAAAATTATATTAAAATCTCATTACATTAATATTTAATACAAAATATTATTCAAATAATATTATAATATTATTAAATTAATATTTAATATTAAAATATTATAAACTTAAAATAAAAAATTTAAAGAATTATTAAATTAATATTAATGTTAAAATAATGAGAAAATATGATAACCTTAGTTAAATAATATTAAAATAATACATACTGTTAAAATAATATGTAATATTATATTATAAAATCTAAATTAAATTTAATTTATTGATATATTTATATGAAAATATAACATGTTATAGATAAAATCATTAGTGAGTGGAGTGTGAATGTATATTAAATTTATGGAATTTCTAAAATTCTAAATAGAGATAGCAATTAAGACTCAAATTAAGATGTAATGACTAAAAAAGAAATAAGTGCAATAAATCATAATTTAATAAAAGTTTAATGACCTTTAGTACATTATATGAAATCACAAGTCGTAATAGTTGATTCTATTTATTTGGAAGAAACATAGTTTAATAGTTAATATGTTCAATGCTTTTAATGATAAGATTATGAATTTAACTTTGAACATAAACTTTAGAAAGCATCTTTTCATTCTTTCATACTTCTATAATTTTCTTTTTTTGCTCTATACCAGTCATGCAATAGTTTCTTTCCGATTTTCGTTTGTCCAATATTTGATGACATTTTCTTGGCCATATTGCAGAAAAGGGATCCCAGCTAGCGAACATGATCAAGCTCTTAGCCGTTTAGAAGCCAAGTTATTGGTGATAGCTGAGGAGCAACGTGCACCTGAAATTAAGCTAATAAGAGGAGATGCAGTGAAGGCGGAGTGGGGGCAGCGGATACGTAACTATGTATTCCATCCATACAAACTGGTAAAAGATGTACGGACAGGGTTTGAAACATCAATATTACGTCAGTAATGGATGGTGAATTGGATGCCTTTATCGAGGCTACCTCAAATATAAATACAGTATGAAATGTGTCTGCAACAGGGGTTCATTAACAGTTTAGTGATCTATGATTAACTTCTATAATCTCCTTTTTGTGTTTATATAAGTTCAAAAATCTTTGAATCAAATCAAGAATATGCAAGGTAGATTACTGTAAACTGATATATATATATTATATATCGCATTCCTTTATTACTAATTAGATTCAAAATGTGACAAAGTGTCATTGTCCGCATTCATTTTCGTACGTGGCTTCACAGATTGATAGAGAATGAATAGATAACAGTTATTCGGTGCACTAATTGCAAATCCAGCTGGGTTTTAGAGATTTTCTCTTAACTGCGTATATAAATAAAACAACTCAATAACTTATCTTATCTTGCATATTCTTTTGTGGCGGTACATGTTATATAAATTATCTGCTTATAATTTATTATTAAATACATAAAAATGAATTACAACAATTTCATTAATTTAACAAGAAAAGAGTTTGCAGATTTTTCTTTTAATGTGCAAAAAGTATAGATAAAATATATGATGTGGTATTTCTTTTTTAAAGGCGCAATGTTTGTATTTTTTTGGTACATATATAAGTAGTTTTTAGTATTTCGAAGTGAGGAATTTGAGTGGGTCAATACATTTTAAGTTGAAAATTTTATTACTTTTTTTATACTTATAAAGCAACATATCATTAGATTCGAAATATATATTGAATATATTTATATATATATTATATATAAAGAAAATTATTTAATATTGTGTATGAAATTTTTAAATTTGATTAATGAAATTAAAAAATTGTCACAAATCTTATTAAAATATATAATAAAAATATTACTAAAATAACTTAATAATAAATAAAAATATGATAATATCTTATTAATTTATTATTTTTAGAGTTTAAAAATTCAGTAATGCTATGCTTTAGGAAAAGGAAAGCAGTAAGATTACTGAGATACTTATTAATGGTATAAGATTACTGAGATACTCATTAATAGTATAATGTACTTGAATACATATATCCTCTCTCTTTCGTGCGAAAGTTGCTGATGGCTGAGATTAGAATCCGAATCCAAAGTCTAAAAACCTTATTTCTAATAATTTTTTTTTTTAAAAAAAATCCCTTAGCTTGAGGGAGGGAGCTGTCCTGCACAACTTATCATTGGCTCCCTTGAGGTTGTCGACTATAGCTTGGAGTCGAAGCTCCCTACCTTTCACTTGATTGCCCTTTAAGTGTTGGCAAAATCCATATAGGAAATAGCTTATCGCTGTAAATTGTATGATCTGGATCGTAAAATCGTTTCATTGTTCCATTCATCTTCAATTTAAACCGACCCATATCATGGGGTTTTAAGAGCCTAGCTGACTCTGAACCCAAAAAACAAATAAAGTTATAGTCATCTGTGAAGTAAATACAATTTGGTTGACACCCTGGGAAGTTCTGAGTGACCGCAACCGACATGGAGCAGTTCCCACCCAAGAATAATGCATCATCTCTTACGCTTTCTACATTAACCAACTTTGCTTCAGTTCCATCTTGGACCAGCTTATAAACCTTACAATTTTTAGTCAAGTAATGTTTCTTATAATGATCAAACCTGAAAATCCTTCTGATGACCAGAATATCTCCGGCAGATGACTCCACAATGTATGATTTCATAATAGCTGGTCTACTGCCAGACCCGCGTACAATGATCTCTGACTTAATAGCTGAATTTCTTGTGCCATCAAAGCTTGAAAAATTCTTAACTGATATGATATTATTTGACAAATCTACAGCATAAATATCACCGTTGCGAAAAATAGCATCAGTTATTTTATCACCTCCTGGATTGTTAATCCAAGCCCAACTTTCAATATCACCTGGTCGTCGAATGATTGCAATTTGTGTATGGTCATCGGCTTTGACGAGGGCGATGACAAAATATTCCTTAGGATTTAGGTAAGGATCATCCGATAGTACAACCTTGTTGATGAAGAAATCACCAGAATAATTAAGCAGAGGAAGAGTGATAGCATCAGAGGTGAAAGGGTTGATAAGCGTAATGGCTAAAGTTGTGGCATCAAACATAGCTAGCCATCCATGAGAAGAGCCACAGAATGCTCTCGTAGTAGTCTTGACAGGAAGTTGCAGCTCCATCTGGTATTTCTTTTCCTCAATCACGTTGTACAAACCAAGCCTTTCTTCACTGTTTCCCGTTGGAAAGGGATTATCACAGCGGGGAACGACCCTTCAAGATTTTACGGAGTAGGTTGGTGTTGTTGCTGATAGCCAAGTTCCACGGCTTGCCAAACAGTGCAGATACGCCACATAATTGGAAAGCGGAGGAACCAATTTCTCCACTATCAAAACAAGGATGATCATGAAGATTTGCCCAATTGCTATTGAATGCTCCATGACGAAGCCCCTCTTCGAGGATAAAAATTAACAGTAGTGACAAACTGTTAGAACTTAGCAACAGCTCAGTCAGTATATCACCAATTATATATAGTAGAGAGCCAGCTCCAGTAGCATGCTCTCCTAAACAGAAGCCTTTGGCTGCCTCTCTCCCTTAGATCCCCACGGAAACCCTCTATATATATATAAAGAAGCCCTAGATTCCATAAGTTTATTAAGGAAGAAGAAAGGAAAGAAAATCATAGAGGTTATTCGTTAAACTTTCCTTTGTAATAAAAAAGGAAGGTAATCTAGCAGGAGAGCAAAGTAATTTTCCTTTTAAGACAAACATATATTAGTAAAATATATATGGTAAATTAATAAAAAAGGTGTTTGAATTGAGAACAATTGAAAGGCAAGAAATTACCTCAAAATCACAAGTATACAACCTGTTTCAAAGATATAAATTGTTAAATACTTCACGTTCTTCCACGAGTTCAAAATCTTCACAGTTACATGTTATCTCATTATTATCTATATATAAATATATAAACTTCAAAAATATTAAAAGTAATCGATTTAAATATCTCTATGAATTTTTAAATTAATAAATTTATCTTTAAATATATATCTTTTATTAATTAATTTAAATTTAATTTAAATAAATTAAAATTAGAAATAGAATTTATGTGACATTAAATTTTTTAAAATTTTAAACTTTAATTAAAAAATATTAAAAATAATTGACTAAAAATTTTTATTTAAATTTTTTTAAAAATTTTAACTTAAATGGATTTTCTTTGTTATTATTAGATTAAAAAAATGTTAAAAGTGATTAATTAAAACTACCTTAATAAAATTTTAATTTAAAAAATGTTAAATGTAATTGATTAAATATCATTAGATTTTTTTTATAAATTTTAATTTAAATAAATTTTTATTATTAGACTCCCTTTTTTATAATTAGAATAATTTTTCACATTAAATAAAAATACAAATGAGATCAAAGCTTAGCGTGCATAAGAAGTAACAAGTTATATGGAGTTTATTTTTTTAATTGTTGTAAAAATAATTGTGTATATAGTTTATGTTGATAAATAAATTCATTGAAGATTGTAGACACCCAATTGGGTCGAGGCCCAGATCAATTGGGCCTGGCCCAAATGGGTAAGCCCAATACAATTTTTACTTTGTATTATTTTTTTTCTTTTTTTTCTTTCTTTTCTTTTGTATTTTATGTATTTTATTATTTATTATTATTATATGTATATTTTTATTTATTTTTTTTCTTTTCTGTTAATATGTATATGTATTTTTATATAGTTATATATTTATTATTATATTATAATTTATTTATTATTGTTTTTATCTTGTAACATTTTTTGGGTTTATCTTATTTTTATTATCTGTTAATTTTATTTTTTATCTGATTTTATCGATTATCTGATTATTATCATTATTTTTTTTTCTTTTTTGAGGGCTAGGATTGAAAGTTGAAGAATCCCACTTTAAAGGGGAATTCAATCAAGAGAGTCCAGATTGGATTCAAAGATTGAATTCCCGTCCAAAGAGGAATTGAGATTGATCAGAAACTCCTGATCAATCCCTATATAAAGGACCCCTGGAACAGATGCAAACACACAGAAAACAGTAAGCAAAAGCTACTGACTGAGAGAATAAGGACGTATAGAGAGGTAAGAAAAGGTTTAGGAGTGTTCTGGGAGTGAGAAGAAATTTTTTGAAGCTTTTTGGCGTTTTTTCTTTTCTAAGAATTTCTGGAATTTCTGGAAATTCCAGATTCCGGTGAATTTATCGACGAAGTTTGAATTTTTGGCGAAAATTTCGACCAAACTTGAAGTTTTCGGTGACCTGCCCAGTTTTCGACGAAGAATCCCAAAAACCGGTGACCTTCCGACCAACTTCCGGTGAACTTTCGGTTAAATTTTTTAGATTTCAATGACATTTTCCATAATTCGACGAACATTCCACCGGAGTTCTTCAGCTTTTAGAGAGAGGGGAGAGGAAAAAAGAAAAAAGAGAGAGAGAGAGGGGAGAAGGTTTCTGTCAAAAAATGAAGGGAACTGCCTTTTATACCCTTCCAAAATGACGTCGTTTTGGCCTTAAGTGACCCAGAGGATCCGCGCGTTTTGCCATGACCCGACCCGACCCGAGATTCGACCCGCTTCCTGACCCACGCGTGCCTGCCCCCCTCCGAGCCAAGCCGAGCTTCCCAAGCCGCCCCCCGAGCAGTTTCTCTTTTTTGAGCCGAGCCGAGCCGAGCCGAGGCTCTAGGTTTTTTTTTATTTTTCATTTATTTGTTTATTTGTTTTTTTTATTTATTAGATTAGGTTTATTTAATATTATTTTTATCTTAATTTTATTTTTATTTTTGTTTTACTTTTCTTTATTTTTCTGTTTTTATTTATTTTTATTTATTATATTTTCTTTAAATAAAAATCAAAATTTCCAAAAAAAAATATTTTTAGGGAAAAGTTGAAAGTATCAATTTTCCTTGAAAATCAAAATTTCTAGAAAATATTTTTGAGGAAAAGTTGAAAGTATCAATTTTCCTTAAAAATAAATTTTCAAAAGAAAAAGGATTTTTGAGGAAAAGTTGAAAGTATCAATTTTCCTCGGAAATCAAAGTTTCAAAAAAAAATATTTTTGGGAAAAAGTTGAAAGTATCAATTTTCTTTAAAAATAAATTTCAAAAAAAATATTTTTTAGGGAAAAGTTGAAAGTATCAATTTTCTCCACACAAGAACAATCATTCTCTCATTCCTTTCTATTTTGATTTTGATTTTTCTTTAACTAATCCGACGACGGAGCCTCTGCAAGTGAAACAGTAGTTTTTCTTGCATACTCTTGAGGTGAGGGAATTTTCTCAATTTTTTGCTAAAAGTGTTAGAGTCAATTGAGAATAATTTCCAATAATTAATTACTTGGTAAGATTTTAAGGCTAATTGGATAACATAAATTTAAGCTGGTACCATCTTTTGATGGGCGTTGTGAGGGTGCTATAACCTTCCTCACACATAACCGAACTCCCGAACCATGTTCTGGTTAGTAGACCTGAACCTATTCTTTTAGGGACCCTTAAACTTAGTTGTTCCCTGAAAGGACAGATTCTTTAGGTGGCCAATCGCACCTAGATAAAAAAAGATTGGTGGCGACTTCTTATAAGTCGATGACTAGCGATAGATCCTTGGATCTAGACATTATGACAGCTTGACGACTCCACTGAAGATTTTGAGAGTCAGGCCAGCAAATAATTTGTGTTATCCAAAAGCCTAATAAAATTGAATCCTTTTGTATATATGTGTTATTATTCATTCATGTTTATTTACCTTGTTAATCATGTCATTCATATGCATGTGCATAATATGAGCTCTACACCCGAGCTCCGTCCCTCTAGGAGGGAGTAAAGTACCTATTGCTTTCGTGAGGTCTAATGCCTCCGCAGTGACTAGCGAAATACTCTCACTCAAATTGAACCTTTTTTCGCTTGTAGCCTGTGATGGGTGAGGATTAGGGTGCCTTACTAGTCTGTGATGGACAAAGATGTAAGGAACAATTTGAGGACCTTTAGACTTTGACCCTAAAACTGCATATAGTGAACTTTATGAGTGCCTAACCTATAGATAGAGCCATCACTCTTTCCTGATAGAATTAACTAAAAGCATAGGTTTCATCCATTTTACTTTGTGTGATGTTTAAATTTATTTAGTTATTTATTCTTTTTCTCGGTATACTAATCTTTTTTTTTCTTTCGCATTGGTTCATGCGCATATCATAAAGTTGCATAGAGAACATTTGCCTGAAAAATGATCTTCAACAAATTTTTTTCATGGACACCAATGAATGCTTAGTCTGTTCTTCATCAGTAATAGCACCTTGTGGGACACCCAATGAAGTAAGGGCCAGTCAGAAAAGACTCAACTGAAGATGGGAGATTGCTTGCCAATTGGGTATGAGTCAACTCTGTCTCAAGAAATATCTATCCTCCTCAAACAAAATAATTTAGAAGATTTGGTGGATATTGAAAAAAGATGAGTCCGTCAAAACAAGAGCAGTTTTGTCAGAAACATGGGCATATAGCACACCTTCTAGCAGTGGCTGTTGATGATCAACTAATTAGAGCTGCAACACAATTCTGGGATCCTGCATACAGGTGCTTCATCTTTAACGAAACTGATATGACTCTCACCATAGAAGAATATTTGATCTTATTGGGTTTGCATCTAAAGACTCTGACAAGATATATGTCAAAAACATAAGTCAAGATTTCATAAAAGTCTGGCTTAACTCATAAGGATAGACAAGGAAGTTGGGGATTCTCATACAAAGAAGAAACAGGAACAGGTTTGCCTACCTTGAAAGTTCTTTCATGAGTTTCCGATGCAACACCCCAATGAAGAACGGGGGTTAAACATATTTGCCTTGGCTATATACGGACTAGTAATTTTTTCAAAGGTTTTGGGACATATTGAGATAGCGATGGTTGATTTCTTTGAAAGTGTGATTAATGGCTGTAATCCTTCAACGATAATATTAGCAAAGACTATCAGATCTTTGAGTTATTGTCGTCGAAATGGAGGGCGTTTCATAGGATGCATACCGTTATTGTACGTGTGGATGAAAAGCCATTTTGAACAAGAAAATGGCGCTTTCTCAAAGATTTACATTCGTAATCATTTTTCAATCAAGGAATTCTGTGAAAGTGGATGGTCAAAGCGAAAGCCTAAACAAGAATGGATAACTTT